AGAAAAAGTTTTATATAGTATATATATATATATATATATACACGTATATATACTGTTAGTATGAAACAAAATATTCTTCACATCCACAGTTCTTATTTTGTATCCTTGACAAATTTCTTGCTGGCCTTACTAATTCCCCACCCTTATCCCAAGAAACTTGTCAGAATCTTATGAAAATGATCAATTATATGATCTCTCTTTCTATTGGAAATAGTGTTTGCATGCATGTTCATTTGTTTTATGTTGTTCTGGTTTATGGGAATTACCTGAAGTGTTTCTCAACCAACCACAGTTTATCCATACTCCCAAACATCTCTGGCTACATCTCAGGTTGCTAGATGTGGTCTGACTGTGAGCCTGAGTTTTGGTTTGTATTAATTTGAGGATTGTTATAATCTTCTTAGTGCTCCACACTAACCTAAATGTTTTAGGTTTTCTGTTTCTGAATTTCAAACTGAAAGCTGGGGTTTGGAAACCTACTTTATGTTCCAGTAATAGACCAATCATTTTGTGTTTTGCAGTCATGACACTGGAGTTAACCCTGTTATCAGTGGTCCTTTCAGCCGAGCTGGCCTTCTGCAGCAACGTGTCGCAGCCTCCTGGGACCTGACACACAACTGCAGGTGAGATGAGACAAGTCTGTATATTTAGTTGCTCATTTTTTGAGTCTCACAGTTTGGTATGTGGGGCACAGGAAAAACACAAATGCTTTTAAATGCATACAAAGATAAAACTTAAGAAACACGAACGCATACATTACAGACTGATAACCTTGTGTACTCGAGGCTGAATGTGAACACAGTGTTTCCAGAGGATTAGTGTGTTTTTGTCTTGCAAAGTTTTCACCTTTGTGTGTCGGCTATTTCCCCTGGCTTCCTGTAAATCTTTGTCAGAACTCAAAAGTTGTTTTGTGGAGCCGTGGAGATTAAACAACTGACAGCTATCGCAGTTAATTAGTTTGCTAGGACTTTACTGTCACCAGAGCTGGGCTAATAAATGAAATGAGCAAAGATGCTGCTGTAGCTTCAGCATCGCTCCAAAGGGGATTACCATTGATGTTCTCATTTCAATTCATCACGTAGGATGATAAACTGGTGGAAACATGAGACAAGTGTACGCACAAATATGCATGTTTGGAACATCTTTGTCTTTATTTAGTCTAAATTGAGGGACATCTTCATCTGATCACTGCTCCTTTGCAGGATTCACATCTCACCTGTTCCCCAGGCATACAAATTTTCTTCCACTCCTTAAACTTGATAGTTGGAAATGTAATATTATTAATAAGGAATGCATGCCCCTGACATGTCGCTCATCAGTGCTTTGTAATAGCTTTATACATGATTTTGTCCTGTGTTGCACACAAATCTCTTTTGTGCTCCTTCTTTCTTTCTTTTCTTTTCACACAAACACTCAAACAGCCAAATCATGTCTAGACTCTCTGTCAGCCTAAATGACAGCTCACTGTAAGGCATTTGATTGTTCACCACCAAACCAAGATGTTTTCTTTCCTTTTCTAGCTTAATACTGAACTAGTGTTTTTTGTATTTTGTGTGTCTGTAAGAACTTGAGACAACATGGCAGCTGTTAGTTGACAAAAAAATCAATTTAAATTTTGAAGAAAACAAAAGAAAATAATCTGTTTACCTTCTGGTTTTTGCTGTATAATCAAGGGATAATACACTGAGTGACTGACAGGTTGACAGCTTCATTCTCTGTGCTGTAGCAGTCTTGTCCAGTGTGTTTACAAGAGCAGGTAATAATGACACAGGTTAATATTTTGATCTCTATCACTGTCAACAAGCCCCTCTCCACCTGCCACCAACCTTCACTTTCAGTCATCCTGGAGCTTGAATCTGTGATTCATACAGGTGCACTTCTATCCTCCATCTGCTCTCTTTGTGACACACATGCTTGCATACGTGCATGCATGCACTACATCCAGACCAGTGGTGTTGAATGATTCATGATATCCAGCCAGCCCATGAGACAAACCTGTGGGAGAGGCAGTTTATAAAAAAGAGTAAAAGAGTTCATACTTGCATTACACTAGATTTAGACAAAACTGCTACAACAACAGTGATAAATTCTTCTGTCTGGCAGAGGCAGTCAAACAGCGCACAGACGGTGGGAAGACAACTCTGCAGAGTCTGGGGAAACATGATCCTGGAAATCTAAAGTCTGCTTGCTGAGATGGAGATGAATGTCTGCAAATGAAATCTGTGCTAAGAAAACAATTTGCCACATGATTTTTTTCTTACCCAGTTGCTTATTGAAAGGTCCCTGTTGTCATGGTTACATCACACATGGACACAGCCATGTCCTTACTGTTATGGCTGTTTCCTTTAGCCTTTTGCTGCATGATGTGGAGGTTATGGTTGAACAACCAACAAGGCAGAGTGTGAGACAGTGATTGGAAAAATATGTGGGTGGCTAATTGAGTAATAACATTATCATCTAGGCCTGCAGACAATCTTGTGTGCTCACTTTTAATGCACACATGATACCATTATTTTACATTATAAAGCATCACTGGAGTAATGCATTATTCCTGTTGTGAGGATCAGTAGAAGTTAGAAGCGACTATCAAAGCTATGTGTGGGCAGTTGGCTTCATTTATGAAAAATGCCCCTTTCAACATTCGAGAGAATTGAGAAAGTGATGCATGTTCATCCAAACATCCGGATTTATTGGCAACTTGTTTGTTGTCCTAGCACGATACATGGGTGATTAGTATATTCCTGTAAAAATGTCTTATGATTATTCTTTCTGCCAAAGAGCAAGAATATCACTTTTATATTCAGAAACACCAATTCTAGGCTTTTACTCATAATTTAGTCTGATTTATGAATTTCAAAGCCTGATTCTCTGCCTGTGATTCCCTCTGTGAAACATTTAGAACACCAGATGGGGAAATAATGAACCTTTCTAGCTAACACCAGCTGACAGAACCTTACAAAACCAAACACTGTTCACTGGGGTTCAGGTAAGGGGATTGCAGGGAAAAACAAATGTAAGTTTCAGATGTCTTTTGCTAAGACAAACACTCAGAATCAGCTTGTGATCACACTTGACCCAGCGCCTTGTTATTTCTTCAACAATAAAGCCCAACATTTCCAGCCATTACCTCTGCACCAGAGTTAAAACAACATCACAGTTACCATGGTTACCCTGGTGGTTATTACGTTTATCAAATGGATGTATATGATACAGAACCAAGTTAGACCATCATCCTGAACAGCTGAAGCTTGGTAAGATTGAATCTAGTCAACATCACTAAGTAGCAGAGGAGGACGATAGAAGGACAGATGACAAAATCTGGAAGATTGGAAAGTAAGAAGGAGACTGAGTGACAGAAAGCAATGCATTAATGGAAGAAATGGGGTGTAAAGTTGCACAAATAAAGTGCAGGGTGTAAACAGATGAGAGGAAAATGCTGAAGCCACAGGGGATGATGGGAAAGGGTGCGAGATGGAAGAGAAAATGGGAGAGGGGATAAGGCAAAATATCATAAAGGTTCAGTGGTGTTATAGAGGAATGAGTACAGTGCTTACTTAGCTCTCTGCAGTGCGACTGTCTGGCCCCGACTTCTTTTATCCACCCGAGATCAAAGCGGCGAAAAAGCTTGTGAAATCCCAGGGGAAGCATTACATACATCTAGTGCGTTGTGACTGGATGAAGGACTTTTTGCCTCATTCTGGCCACCACCATGTTGTTGAAGCCAAGTAAGCTCTTATATATATTTTGCATAATAGGTATCCAAACATTAAGAACTTTCAAGCCCTTGTGTGGTTTGAATGTTTTTGAGGACAAATTATTCAGAGAGCTTCAAATGACAGCACGCCACTGTTGCATTAATTGCAGAATATGCAAATGCAGCATAAGCCTTGTATAGAAAAAAGTGCTTTTCACATTTTACATTTTTTTTGTGTAGCATATGCAAAATACAGGCATCTTAAAGTGCTTTACATGGGGGAAAGAAATACATCAGACCAACATTTAAATACACAGTGAAGAGGGAAATAAAATTATTGAATTAATTAGACACAGAAAAAGGTCCTGTAAAGGGTCAGACCTGAGACTGAATGAGGTTGTTTCTGTGTGGTACTGTCCGATTCCTCCAGTGTCACAGTGCGGTTAACTGAGGCCTTACATTGTGTTGTCTGACACACATAACAGCGTCTCCTGCTGTCATAACCTCCTCCTTGCTGCATCATACTGCCTCCTTGAGTTTTCTCAAAGAGCTGCGTCTTTTGAATGTGTTTGTTTTCTCAACACAATAAACACACATAGGATTAGTTGTGAAGAATCTTGAGAACAGCTCCACACACCTGGCCAGTTGCTTGCTGGATTTGAAAAGTTAAAAACCTTGAAAGATGCAGCCCTCCAAACTTGGAAATGTCAGAAAGCTTTAGGGGGAGGAGGTTCCAGACTGTGGCTGACAAATTGAAAAGAATTTAGTTTGATATTGGATATTCTTTTGTCCTTGTTCTCGTGAAATCACATTCAGGAAAAAGCTAGACAATACATACATTATGTCAAGGAATGTCCTCACAACTATAGTGAGATACCAGTCTGTGTGTGTGTGGGGCCTGGTATTACTCATGTTGTGGGGATGTAAGTTTGTTTACAGTCACATTGTGCAGACTTGACATTCTTATGGGGACAAAATCCCAGTCCCCAAAATGTATGGAATGGAAATACAATGTGCGTCAGATCCATTTTTCCCAGAGGTGAGAGAGAGATAGAAAGAGACAGAGAGGGAAGATGAACAGAATGGAGAGAAAAGGGGAAAGTGCTAGTATAAGATGTGTGCTCAGTCATCTCTCTGTATATCTGTTTGGGCTTGCTTTTATTGATTGATGTTGCCAGTCTCTTCCTCACTAATGGGCTGTAGCAACATCTGTATGTGTTGGACTTTTATGTCCATCCTGTCTCTGCTCAGCCTTGTCTCAGCTGACCAGTCAGCAGGCACCATTCGTCCTTCTAACAAGAGGAACCTTTCTTTAGTGGGAACTAGCTTGAGTGATGCCATCGTGTCTTTGCAAAGCCTTTTGTGCTGGCTGGTTCTGTGAAAAGATTCACATAGACTGGGTTCATCCAGATGAAAATAAATTGCAAGTCTAGAAATGATAGGTCTGTAGAAGCATTGCATTACACGTTTGTATCATGTTTTGCCCAGTGTTGAGTCTAAGGGTGTAATTTTGTGCTCCAAGGTTTCACTGGTAGAAAGTTACTTGTGTAACTGTGATAACTGCACCCAGTGACTGCATATACGATGGACAGCTGACATCTTCCACGTGAAGCCACCATGAATCAATCGCCCCCTGGTGGCTGGTTGCACTCTAGGTCATAAACCCCACCTCGTCTTCCACGTTAGTGGATGGGACATGAGTCACACTAAAAGGACAAATCAGATCCATTTTTCCCAGAGGTGATTTCTGTGATTTATTGTTATTTATTCATTTTTGTAGACATTATCATGCTGATGTGTGTGCAAGTGGACCTTTTTTTTTTTTGGTAAGTTTGTTTTTATTAATAAGTCATTTGTTGATATAAAAAGAAGTGCACTCAGTGGTTGCATCTAACATCACATACTGTTGTGTTCACTGGGAACAAAAGCACTACACTGGATGAAGTTGGAACACATCAGATGAAGCAAATTAAATGCTTGTTGTATTGTGGTCAATGTCATTATGTGGCCTTTCACTGTAGAGCTCTTAAAAAGTTTTAAAAGGAGACAAGCAGCTTATTTTGAAACATGAATAATGTTACAGAGCACTGCATTCCAAATTGCAACAGGTGTGCACACTCCTAACTCAGGAGCATATATGAACCCATTTTGTGCAGTTCATTTTTGACTTGGGGAACACATGGGTCTGGGATTATTTACAATCAGGAGGAGCAAGGACAAAACAATCCTTTAGATGATTGGCCTTTTTCTTCTAATTAGAAATTAAACTTCAGGAAAGATGTACTCAAACAAGTGTAACAATTTATTTGAAATTGCAGTTTTTATAAAAGCTACATAGTTGCATCCCAGAACTATATGGGATAGTTCCCATCCAGATATGTAAGTTTATATTTGTAAGTTACCCAGGCTCCAAGCATGGAAACAAACTGACAACACTGTGGTTCTATGCATAAATGTCAGTTTTTCATGTCACTGATTGTTAATTTATATTTATTTGTGTCTTAAAGTTTTCAGCCTTCAAGCTATAAACTTCATAAAGAGCATTATTTCTTACTTCCATGTGTGCATGGGTATCAGAATAGCATAGTAATCATGATATCACTCACTGCAGCATCACTTTTTACTTTGATCTCTGTTAAATTGCAGTTGCCTTCATACTGCACTGCTATAACTTGCATGCACTACTGGTTTTATTGCCATATTGCTGCTACAGATTCATGGCGGTGCAGTGCTATTGAATGAATTGAGTAAGTTTAGGATATAGTGTGTAGTACTGTATGTCGGCTTCTGTGATACTGTCGTTGCCTTTACATACTGTATGTATCTGCTTGAAACCAAATTTTGTTGCTCATACAATGACAGTGGAATGTCAGAAAATGCTGATGAAATCTCAGCTCCTCAGAGAGCCTGAACATGTTTTGTCCTGTCTGAGGCTGATTGCGACTGATTCTGGTACATTTCCTTTCAAGATACTGTCTTTATGTTTGAACTGTGGCCATGAACAGGACATGATCTATTGGAAAGGACAGTTATTTTCTGAAGTTCAGCTGAGTCTCTCTGTTTTGAACTCTTGGAAAACATGTTTAATGAGTAGCAAGCGCAGTGTTTTTGTACTGAACAACTCTTAAAAATACTGAACATCTAGGATTTTTCTTGGATATCAGCATCAAGGCTAGGAGCTGTGCATACAATAGGAAGCTGATTCTACACATCTCAAAATATGATTAAGCTTTGGTTTGAATTACAGTAAGCATAGTTTTTATTCTAGTAGAACAAACCCATGAGTGAATTCTTAAGGGCATCAGCGGAGAGAAAATCTGTTTTGGTCCGACATACATACTGATGCAGAGTTTAGACTTTACATTCTCAATAAACCAGATGTAGAAATAGTCACATCTTTTAATTAAAAACTAGTTTCAGGGATGTTTTAGACGGCCATTAAGCTTACTCTGGACTCTTTTACAACAGCAGTGAGTAGGTTGTTTACAAGGTTCATTAAACATTTTTTTTCGTCAATGCATGGCACAAATTTTAACTCGGAAATCACACAGTCAAGACCGTTGGCTAGTTACACGCTTTTTGTCTTTCATGCTCTGTGCTTAAATACATAAAATTTGAAATATTGAAATCTTTAGAAAAATAATGAATACCACATTAAAGCTTTAATTTGAGTAGGTTAAATAGAAAGAACAGTGTGGGAGATAAAACCCTTTTGAAGTACAGTGTCCAAGAGTTCAAATGTAAATGTACACTTGGCTGCTAAATGTTTCTTGGGCGGCTGTTTGTCATTGCAACATTAATTCATGCACAAATGAGCTCAGAGTTGATTTATAGTTGGCATTTAGACAGAGGAGGACATGTCTGTCAATAATGCAAAGAATAGCACATTTAATACACACAGGCAAATCAAAGTGCTTTACTAACAGCATTAAAACCAATAACTATTAAAACCAGAATAAAATCATTTGATTGTCACAGTGTTTTCAACCTGTACTTAAAATGAAGAAATCATCATTATGCACTGTTCTGAATGCAAGTATGTACCTATAGGCTGATGTTGGTTGCGTTACAAATATTTATGTGATATTAAGCAGAGAGAGGTCATTGCAGTATTTGTCATTATGCTTCTTTTTTCCTGTGGCCAAATAGACATACCCACATAATCACAGAAATAGTCAGATGTTCCCTGCTAGAGAATTAATTTTTAAAAAGACAGCTGTACTTCCTCCCAAAGGTGTAATTAACTAGACATAACCAGGCCTCATTTGTTTACAAAGACACTACAGTACTTCCACTACAGTGTACTCTGCTCCACACAAGTGTGCATATGCAGTTATTGTCCCCTTGAGATAGTCATTATCTGCCCTCTGTTGACAAACTTTTTATTCAATTTTCCACCTCCTATTTACTTTATATTTTAATTTAGCTTTCTGTCCCTCCCTTATCACTAAGGTTCCTTGTTTGGGGACACTTCATGAGTGCCTGGTGAAATACAGCTATGGGGTGAATCAGGGAGTTTATTATAATGCAATACAGACAACAGAGACAGGACGAAGAGGAGTGAAGAGGAGTGAAAGGGAAAATCATATTTCACACCACCCAGTGTTTCCCTCATTTAGTTTATAGTCCACTGTCCAGCAGAAGCAGCAGCAGCAGCAGGTGGGGGTCATAGTGTTGGCCGCATACTGTAGAGATAGCTGGTCCTCTTGCCTGCCCCTCTCAGTTGTGTGTGATAGTGTGAGAAAACACATACACTTCCTTTGTCCTTGCAACCCAATAAGTGTCTGGCGGATGATTACATTAAAGAGGCAGAGAGAGGATATGATGCCAACCAGAACTAAACTGGAAGGATGGCAGCAAGTGAAACGGAGAAAAGAATGTGAGATTGGCCAACCCCTGTCAAGCCTCCTTTCTCTTAAACCACCTCAGGGAATTTGTCTGTCAATAATATGATAACACACACGAGGCTGAATATGAAGAATACTTTGATCCTGAGAGCCCAGTCAGACGACAGTCATAATTTCTGTAGCCTTTTAAAGGAAATAAGCCTGTGCAGAAACTTGTCATATGAGTCATTGCGGAGGATGATAACCTGTTTGTCATTTGGTTTTAAGGACCTGTTGTTATCTTGTATCTCCTATCATATTGCTCATGGAATCACATAGATTGCATTATTTGAACATTTGTCTTTCAGCATAAGATAAGATAAACCTTTATTAGTTCCACAACAGGGAAATCCACAAAGCTACAGCAGCAAAGGAACAGAAACAAGGCAGTCAGTGGTAAGAATAGCAAAGCGACAGACAAGGTATTATCATTCA